AGAAGGGGGAGCCTGATGTGGGGCTCGATCCCAGGACTCCGGGATCATGACCTGAGCCGAAGGCAGTCGCTTAACCAACTGAGCCACCCAGGCCCCCTCCTGCAAATTCTTTTATCAGGCACAGAGTTTTAAAAGTTTTTGCCTGCTAATTTCCAATATCTGGGTCATCAGTGTGTTTACTTCTACTATTTTTTTCTTTTGATTATGGATTGTATTTTCCTGGTTCTTCATATGATTTGTAATTTTTTTTTATTGGATCCCAAGCATTAGATTTAGAAAAACATTGGAAACTGTGGTACAATGTTTATTTTCTAGAGAATGCTTACTGTTTCCTTTCTGGCATTTAGGATGAACAGCTAATAATTCTTTCCTACAAGAATTGATTTGAGCAGGAACTGGTCCATATTTTAATTAAGTTGAATTGTTGCCTGATTTGTCTAACCCATAATCTCTCCTATTGCTGCTTCCCCTGAGGGGCTGATTTCTTTGATATTGCCAGTATTTTAGCTGGCAAGAGTTTGAACTCTGATTTTAAAGTTTTGGTTCACATCTTGGTTCAATCCTGGCAGAGCTTCAAAATACAATTACCACAAGAACATGCAGGATGAGATTCCTCTGTTTCTTCGTTCCTGTTTTTTATAGTTGTGTAAATGCCAATCAAACCTTAAAACATTTTCATTATCCCCAAAAGCCTCCTTGTACTCCATTTACAGTCAATTCTCTCCTACCCTGGCTCCGGACAACTACTGATCCATCACTATACTTTTGCCTTTTCTAGAATGTCCTATAAATAAAATCATATAATATGTAGCCTTATATATCTAGTCTTCCCTATTTCATCATCATGTTTTTGAGATTCATCCATGTTGTTGTAGTTTGTTTCTTTTATTGTGAAGAATATTCCATTGTATGGCTATACCACAGTTTGTTTATCCATTCATCAGTTAATAAACATTTAGGTTGCTGGATCCAGTAGCTATTTGGGCTGTTATGAATGAAGTTTCATTATTTTTTTCAATTTAACTTCAATTAGCCAACACATAGTACATCATTAGTTTCAGATGTGGTGTTCAACAGTTCATCAGTTGTGTATAACACCCAGTGCTCATCACATCACATGCCCTTCTTAATGCCCATCACCCAGTTCCCCCATTCCCCCATCCACCCCCCTTCAGGAGCCCTGTTTGTTTCCCGTAGTTAAGAATCTCTCATGGTTTTTCTCCTTCTCTGATTTCTTCCCATTCAGTTTTCCCTCCCTTCTCTTGTGGTCCTCTGCACTGTTTCTTATATTCCACATATGAGTGAAACCATATGATAATTGTCTTTCTCTGATTGACTTATTTCCACTTTGCATAATACCTTCCGGTTCCATCCAGGTCAGTGTAAATGGTAAGTATTCATCCTTTCTGATGGCTGAGTAATATTCCATTGTGTGTATATATATATCCATATATCCATATATATCCATGTGTATGTGTATATATATATATGGATATATGTGATATATATATATATATGGATAGATGTGATATATATCACATCTTCTTTATCCATTCATCTGTCGAAGGACATCTTGGCTCCTTCCCCAATTTGGCTATTGTGGACATTGCTGTTATGAACACTGGGGTGCAAGTGCCCCTCCATATGAATGAAGTTTCTGTGAACATTTGTGTGCAAGTCTTTGGGGGGAAATATGTGTTTATTCATCTTGGATAATTGCTTTGGAATAGGACTGGTGATTTATAAGTATATGTTTAATTTTATGAGCAATTGCCAAACTACTTCCCAACGTGGCAAAACGATTTATGTTCCTACCAGCTCTCTGGGAGAGTTCCGGTGGCTGTACATCCTTACCAAAATTGGTATTGTCAGACTTTTTAATTCTGACCATTCCTAAGGAATGTAGGCCTCCTTTTCTGCTACCATATTGGCAAAATTCAAATGGGGAGGGGTTTGGTAGAAGAAGAATGGTTGAGTTGAGTGATTTGCCTTGGGAGCTTTTCTCATTCCAGTCTATCTGCTAGCCTAAATGGCTGTCAAGGGCTCAGCTGGTTTTTCTTCATCCTCTGAATTCTGTTTGTCAATGGTAGGCCTGCTTTTTGACTTGGTTGACTTGACACACTTTGCACACACTAGACCAAGCACTCTTTCTCCACCATGCTCCCTTTAGGTATGGATATGTCTTTGGTTCTTTGCTTATCTATAAAGTGTTCTTCTGTGGAGTTCAGTTCATCAGATTTTTATCCTATCCTCTCCTTCAGTATCCTCAAGGAAAGGGGTGATAATTATATAATTTTATATATTTTTCCTTTCTGGATGTTTAATTTTCTTTTAAAAAAATATTTTTTTTTTATTTGAGAGAGAGATCGAGAGAGAGCATGAGTAGGGGGAGGAGCAGAGGGAGAGGGAGAAGCAGACCCCCAGCTGAGCAGGGAGCCCAATGTGGGGCTCGATCCCGGTACTCCGGGACCATGACCTGAGCCGAAGGCAGACGTTTAACCGACTGAGCCACCCAGGTGCCCTGTCCTTTCTGGATGTTAACACCAAAGTGAATACCTCTCATACATTTTCACATCATAATCATAAGTGGCATTTCTGCTTCCTTTTTAAAGATCTTTTTAGAAGTGCTGCCCAACAATCTCTTTTTGTCTCATTGGTCTGATTGGGACACGAGGCTACCCTTATTGGTAAAGGAGGCTGGGAATTTTATTATTATTGTCATTTTTAAAAGATTTTATTTATTTGAGAGAGAGAGAGAGAGAACACGAGTGGCATGGGGAGGGCAGAGGGAGAGGGAGAAGCAGGCTCCCCGCTGAGCATGGAGCCCAACACAGGACTTGATGCCAGGACCCTGGGATCATGATCTGTGCTGAAGGCAGACACTTAACTGACTGAGCCACCCAGGTGCCCCTTATTATTATTATTACTAGCTATGCATGTTGGCATCCCCAATAAAATTGAGGTCCTGTTAGTAGGCAACTAATAGTCTCTATTATAATGACCATTAAAATACTATTATAATAGTATAAGTGATACTATTTTAAGACTATTATATACTTGTCTCACAACACTGTTGTCATAATTTTTGATGATTTTGATATCCATGTAGATGATCTTTGCAAATAATCCAACATCTCAGTTCGTTGAATTCCTTTCCTCCAATGATCTTGTCTTCTATCCTATCTCAGCAACTGACAAGATGATATCCTCTAGTCTTTGTCATAACCAATAACTAACTTTTCCATAATTTGTTTCAATCATCTTAATCTGTGGTCACTACCTCTTATCTTTCCCACTTAGTCTGTCTAATATTCTGGCTCCAAAAGTCCTTTGATTCCATTCAGAACTATAATCCATTGGTCTTACTGCCTTTTACTGTCCCAAATCCTCCTTGTGGTCTTAACTTACCTAGCTTAAATTCCATGGTCCATTATTATTATTGCTCCCAAGCATATGTACTTTCTTGCCCTGCCATGCTATATTGATTTTATTTTGTTAAACTGCAACCCTGATCAAATCAGTCACCATCTTCTCTATATTTGTGGCATCTGAATGTGAGTAGAAGAAAAAATCCCCAAGTATGCTTATAGTCTCATTTTATATTTATAATTAATAAACCGAGTTCATTCATTTTCCCACTTTCCTGAATGATTAATTCAGTTTTCCCCCCTCTCCTATATGGGTATAAGTCTTTTTCATGACAAAAAAAAAATGTATCAGCCTGTGAGTATGTTTTAAAATGTGATGTTAAATGAACATATTCCTCATGGAGAACATTCTGTGAGAATCCTAACTCTATATAAGCATCTGAGGTTTGTGTATCATAGGTTGTCTCTGATTTACAAATAACTATTCTACTAGAAAAGATTCAGTCATTATGATATTTTCATCTGCCACTATTTTTTCCTCAAAGTATTCATTTGCCCATTGAGTGAGAGTAAAAGACTACAGCTCTTGGCAAGTATACTTATATTGAGAAGTCATAATGAGCATTCATTTTCTAACACAAAGAGATATTTCTATATATTTCTGTGTACAGAGTGGCTACCTTTTTTTGGATATTCATAACTTTCAGGAGTTTAAATCTGGGATGCTTGCTTTTCTGCAACGGTGCAGGGGAGAATAAAAGAGGCATAGCAGGATATATGTCATTAATGGGCCAGTCCCCAGAATGTACTCTCTTTCACTTTCTGGAGGAATTTGCTAGTATAGCATTTGGAGCATGATTTCTTGTCTTATAGGTTTAAAGGGACATAAATTATAGGCAAAAAAATATTTTCCAAAATAATTAAATATACTAAAATGTAGATGGAGATGCATATGGATTCTGAAATGAAAGTAACTTTTTTTTGTTATTCTTTTCAAAAGGTTGGGGATGATCTGAATTCATTCTTGAGATGTTGTTCACAATTTGCTGCTCAGTTAGAAGAAGCAGCTAAGGAAGAACGTAACGTATGCATTCTGTGTAAACTGTCAAGTATAAAATATTTACTATTTTAATGATTTAAATTATTAGTAATGTTAATAAATTTTGTATTAATAAATTG